CCTGTGCAGCAGAGTGGCCTGACACTTCCCCTCTGCGGCTCCTGGGTTTGAGTTGTAAACGGGACCCTTTTCTCCCCCCTCAGGGACCAGTAGCTGACGCAAGGGCCTGAAGGATCTGAGCCATGCCTCCTCGGAAACGAAGCGGGCGAGGGATCTCCTTCATCTTCTGCTGCTTCAAGGGCAGCGACCACCCTGAGATCACCTACCGCCTCCGCCATGACAGCAGCTTCGCCCTGCAGACCATGGAGCCGGCCTGGCCCATGCCCCCCCCGGAGGAGCTGGATGCCATGTTCTCCGAGCTTGTGGTACGTGATGGCCTGTTCTGGTGCGCCGGCCTCTGACGGCCCCAGGACTTCGATATCCTTCCTGTGTCGTCACTTGCTTCACAATCTCCCACAGCTCGACGCCCGCAGGACATTCACTCGATGTGTGTCATGCACACGCCTGAACAAGGCTCGACAGCCGCAGTTTCAGTTGCAATTAACCTTTCTTGTTCCTTGTGTATAATAAATACACTGTTAGTCAAAATGCTGTCGACGACTTTCACAGTTTAGTACAGATTAATTACATGGGTTACTGTGACAAAAAAGGGTTTCAAAGGAAAGCATAAATATCAAAGTTTCTAACAGTTACCTTACAATCCTTCACCATCTGTGGAGGAGAAAGCAAAACTTTAGTAAAATAATTGGCATTCATTCTTGTCGACAACCCTGTGCCTGTATGGAATTGTTGTCCATGCTCCTCTAGTCTTGCCAAACAGTAAAGGGCTGTCTAAACCGAAAGCTGGGCTTTTAGTTATTCACCACTCTGCTAAATAGGTAGTACTGAAACTAGCCCTGTCAGAAACAGTGCTAGAGCTCTGTTTGCCATTTTTTTTAAAGTCCCGGTCTTCCTTCCATGCTTCTTTTTTCATTGTGTAGCCACATTTACTGAGCTGCCCTCTGGTAAATTCTGTTCTTGAGATGTCCCTGTTCTTGTATCAAGTGCAGCATCATCTTATGTGCTTACGAACCTCGTTGAGGTCATGAAAGGAGCTTGCTTTACAGCTGTTTGGTTGAAAAGCCTTTCTGTTTCACTTCGAAGACCCTTGTGTTTAGAGGTGATGGAATTGAAACAGACCTCTGTGGCATGCAGCTCCTCCAGTGCTCCTGTATTCACCGGTGAACACAATGGAGGTCGAGAGGTGTCATTACTGTTCAATAGACTAGACAGCTTACATGAAGAGGATGGGTTGTGTCTCCTTTGGGGGAAACTTCTTACAGAATTCCCTTTGCAGCAACGTTCTACCAGAGATCAATTGCTTATGGAGAACTGTGTGTTGCAAGAGTATTTGCGTATTCCACATCAAGTAAACCTATTGGTATTTTCTCTGCACTAATCACTAATTTTCATGTAGGCGAAGGGCAACTCTCCTGTTCCTTCAAATCCACAGGACTGGGAAGGTAGCTGAAGAGTTTGCTTTGAGTCCTGCAGTTGAGGCAGTGACACCTTGTGACGTCTCCTCTGCTGACCCTCTCACAGATCACTTAGTTTCTACCTGCCTGAACAAGAGGACTAAATTATTGTCAGGATGCCTCCTCTTCCGCAAAGAGCAAACTATACAGTAACTGATTGTTAAAGGACCTTGTTTCTGGTGCAGGGGGCAAACAGATTTAGAAGTAATGCCAGATTGACAGGAGAACTTTAAGCTATTCTATAAGCTTAGAGAATAAAAAATTCTCTAATGTCGTGGGGATGGTAAGAATGTCTCTCCTATCAAAAAGTAAATAGTTTTTCTTGGCTTTGAGCTTATGGAAGTCACCAGATTTTGGATATGATTTTGCTGAAAATGGCTGTATAATTATTTATTTCTGGAACAGAGACGGTCAAGGGAGTGCAAGTGTATTGCTTTGCTCTTAACACATCAAGATAGAAATATCCGTAAAACGAAGAGCAGCGCAATAAAATGTGTAATAACAAATGACTACAGCAGGACTTCTGAGTGTTTGTCCATTACATTGTGCCTTTTTAATTAGTATTCTAAAGATAGCCTGCAAAAGCCTGTGGAGAGGCGTGCGCCAGTCGAAACCGCTGCAGTGACAGGATTTTAAACCATGCCAAGGGAGGGTGTCAAAATGTGTTCATGTGCAGCGGATTTCCAGTGCAGTGCACCCTTGCAGAATTACAAAATTGCAGAGTGTTCGGAAAGGATAAGGGGGTCCTGTATCGGCACCCCACAATGAAAAGTGTTAAAATTCAGATGGAAAGGGGTTTCACCTCCTGTTTCTTGTCTGCTGATTGCTGTTCTTTTTGAATAGGGCTGCTGTTACCATGTTCTGACTAGTACAGCGCTTGAAAACTCAACAAAGCAAAGCTAAACTCTCACAGCAGATTCCAGGAGATGTTATAATAATAATAATAATAATAAT